AAAAAAAAGGAGTAACATTAATTATAAATTACCAGTTGGAAAAATCGGCCGATTTAGAGTGGCAGAAAGCTCCTGATGCACAGAACGTTGCAACTCGATTTGCATCTCCATGCAAGTTTCGAGCATGCTTTGCATGTGGTTCATCCTTTGTTGAAGCCTGGCCATGTCAATCCTCAACTCATTTATAACCTCCCATTCCTGATACTTATTATTATAATGATACAAAAAGATTAGCACAAAAAATTATCTCAAGAAATCGGTAAAAATATGGTTTTTGAATTGCTACATTTCGCAGATCCTATCGACAAAAAGATAAATTAATTCCGAAAATATAACCAAAAAGAGCTTAAGGTTTACCGTCTCCAAGTGCACATTCATGCCCTGAAACTCCTCATCACCCCAAAGTGGGTGGGACCCACCAAAAAGGTCCGAAGACTGGTCAAATTGATTATGTTCATCAGCATCAAATTGTTCTTGGTCGACCCAATCACCCGAAGCACGATGAAGCTTTTCTACATGGGATTGCAGTACCTCGTTTAGCCTCTCCCGAAAACTGCTCCCAAGAAGACTCGACACACGTCTCCTATAAACGGGCCACAATCATTAAAAATCGAACTTCAANAAAAAAAAAAAAAAAAAAAGAAAAATTAAAGTACCTGCTGAAAAGCTCTCTAAGTTCGACACTGTGTGCACGGTCATCATCAGGAAGGGTAGAAGTGTCAATACGCCGAGAAGGAATATCGAGCCAGCTGTCAATAGCCTCCTGCAGATAATTGCTCTGCAGTTCGTGAACTGTATCTTGTTGCTCTTCAACATCGTAAACAAATTGGATTGGATTCGACTGATAAGCAGCAGCAGACACTCTGTACTCTTGTTCCATTTGACCCGAACCTTGTCGTGAATCTAATTCCTCATCCATGTTCTCTAATGAGGGTGTGCTGATGTTAAAGTCCTCGAGTTCTAAAGGCGGGTCATTATTATTGGGTATATCGAAATGAATTTGTACTTGAGTATTGGGAGTTGGATCTTCTTGTCTGCTTGCGAGTTGAGAACTTTGTACGAAGTCTTGATCACTTGTCTCAATGTGAGAAACACGGATTTCTGCTTCGGTAGCTTGTACTTGGTGTTCATATGTGTTCCTGTCTGCTTCTGTGGCTTGTACTTCGGTAGTTTCTAAATCCGGTATTGTTTGTACCTCAATAACTTCCTTTTCTGGGCAAGTAGACTCTGGTGCACAGTTATTTGAGTCGACAGTGTTACTTGAAGTCGAAGTCGAGTTGTCCAATTTGGAGAGAAATCCTTCCCTGAGGATGGGACCCATAAATACCACAATGACATGTTTTTCAAAATAATAATAATAATAATAATAATAATAATAATAATAATAATAATAATAATAATAATAATAATAATAATACTTCAGATGGACAGAAAAATACAACAAATATCAAATATGACTGCTCAAACGCGGGAAGCTACATTGATTACGCGCATCTATGCCATCGAGTAATGTTTGCTCTTAAAAATTTACTCTAGTTATTTGGCAAAAAATATGTTTGCTAAATTTGTTTACATGCTTTAAACGGACCATCTAATATTTAATCATCCAAATTTCTGAAAGTAATTTCTTTCTTAAGATTTAATTAGAGTAAATTTGATTCTCTTGATCACACCAAGACCACAAATCAGATAACAGTCAAAGAAAGGGAACATATAATGGATATAATTTACTTATTCGATAGTATTCACCAAAAAAAGCAACACAAAAGCAGATCAACACAAAAAATGACAAAAACAGTAACAAAATTCTCAACACAAGACAGTCCACAATCCTAAAAATTACCTGAGGTTAGAAACTGTATGCCGTTGCCTCAGCAAACCCAGTTCAGCTGCACCCCTCGAGGACGGCCTCTCATCCCCCAAAACTCTTTCATTTCGTAAAAATCTACCTCTAAGAAGCGCCTACAGAGCAGATCAAGATGCAATAACAATAATTTAGTAAACCATTTTTAACATTCTTGTACAATGTAGGTTTAAAACAAGTAAATCTAAAGAAACAAGATTTGAGAATAATAATAATAATAATAACAGAAATTATTCTTTCTTTAAAAAACAAAAAAACGATCACCTGAATACGATTACGATGAGCAAACTCAGACACCGGCCTTCGCTCATTCAATCCCGAGATTTCCCTTTCCCTTTCGCCCTTCGCCCTCAGGACAAGATCGAGAAGGGTTTGCCTGCCACACAATCTTCGAATGGGCCTTGGGCCCACTTCATCACGAACATCCTCAATATTTTGAAACGGGCCATTTGAACCACTACTCATCCATTCCCGAAAAATCTGTCTAACCCTTTCTCGCTCGTTTTCACCCAAATCGTCTGACAAGACACTGCTACTGTCTTCAGAACTATTCTCGTTACTCGAGGATAATTCGATATCCGAGCCATTTCTAGGCCTTTGCCTGGGCCCACATGAACGGGCGACTATATGCTCGTTTTCGAGCTCACGCCACATTTGTAGGAGGGAAGATGCACGGGTGGCAGGCCGTGAGTTGCTGAAGAGTGAAGGGCCAAAAGCCGATGGCACGTTGTGCAAACCGGCAACGGCCATATTTTGAATAAAAAAAACTGAAAATACAAAACGTTTACAGTCAGATTCGAAATTTTTATTTAATTGTCATTGTTAGTAACCTAGAAAGAGGATTGCACAATCCACAGTTAGATTTCCAGAAATGATTGCTAGATTGTAGAATAAGAAAAGACAGGAAAAAAAGGAGGTGACTTGCAGATCCATATTGTCCCTGAACAAGGACAACCCACCAGAAGGCAAAAAGTGATGGTGAAAAAAAAGCAAACGCCCCACAAATTCAAATTACTAATAACAGTCT